GGGCACCATCAGCTTTCTTCACCACATTTGCTTATGCACCCATTTGTCTTCAGCAATTGTTATCAGGGAGGTGAGCACACAGTGATGTGACTTTTTTGTTCTTTGATGCCTAAAATTTTCCATTTTAAGGAGCATTCTGGCTGTACTTTTGCCGTGACAGATTGTTTATTCTTCTCGGTAGTCCGTGGTACCTTCAGTATTCTTCTCCAACACCATAATTTAGATGCATCAGCTCTTCTGGAACACTTGATGACCTAGGCATACCATCTTTAACTACAGTGTATCAAATGTTGCTAAGTGCCAGTGAGATGATTCCATAGCCTGAATTGGACACAGCTTGTCCCATTTCTCTTCTACTGGTTCTTCCCCTTTCCCCTCCCTCCTCCCCCTCCCCCCCTTTCTTCCAATGCTAAATGAATGATAAATCATATTTTACCTTAGCCTTATTGGGTAGACAGTCCTGTGCTGGTGAATGGTACAATTTTACTTTAAATAGGCAAGAAATTACCAAAATTCATTGAGGCTAATTTAAGATTCTTGTGCTTCTTATCACTCAATTGCTATCACGACATCCATTTCTTTTCTCTTTCCCATATATGATCATTCACAAGTATTTGATATATCTACATACATAACTATATAAATAGATACTTAGGGGGGTGGAGAGTTCAGCTTTAGCATTTCTAGAATTATGTAAGCTACGGTGACTTTTAGTTGAAGTGCACCATTTACTGCCTCTTGGCTTAGAGGCACCATCTAAAACAGGAAATGAAAAGGGCAGGGAAAAAAATACCTGTAAACACATTAAAGATTAAAAGAGTGGCTGAGTGCAGTGAAAGTAAGTGCCTTATGAATTAGTGATGAAGGTGCGATTGCAAGCTTTGGTCGTCTTGAGGTCTACGTTTACTATGCTGGTCGCTTAAACTAATCAAAGCCTGAGTTGCCCATAATAATCAGAGTAGTCATTCTATTTATGGATTGGTTCTTAATAGAAACACGGGGTAGTATCTGCTATCTTAAATGACCCCACAGGGTGGTTATAAAAAGGAAGGAAGTTAAGAGAAATAATCCTGTTTTGCAATGTGAAAGGTGCTCTCTCGGTGTGTGCATGCAGGTGTAACGCAAATCTAGATGCTGACTTTATTTAGGGTAGTTTTAAGAGTTCACTGAGATTCCATGAATACAGTTGTGATCCTTTCAAAGTATATTGGACTAAAGAGGACAAATTTGTGTTATAAACAGCATTGTGAGAGCATTTAAGTTAGATAGGAGGGTAGATATTTTAGAAACAGGTGTTGTCATCTAGCCATGAAAGAGTTTTATTTGTTATTGGGTCAGGCAGACAGTCCTTTGGAGATAACAGTCTAATAGCACTTGGTCCATTTACTTGGTTTTACTCTGTGTGCTTGAAAACAAACAGTACTTTCTTAAAGCTATTGTGAAATAGAAGTATTTGATTAGTTCTCTGGTTTTTCTGCGAATTAGCCAGACGAAGGAAGGGTGTTTTTACTATTGTCACAGATGATAGGATTATTTTTAAATGAATTCAGTTGATGAACAAATAGGACAATAATCACATTTTGTTTTTATATTAAACACATGTATTTAGACACCTACTCTTAAATACTATGTCTGGAACAAATTTAAATGTCCTGTTGTTCATTATTAGGATTACCTTAATAATCACAGATAGATCCCCCCCCCTTTAGTTATGTCAAGACCATTTTGGTTATCTAGTGCTGTTACAATAGAAACACCACAAATGGCTTTAACAAAGAAATTTCTTTTCATAATTTAGGAGATTAGAGGTCTGATTCAGGACACCAGCTGTAGGGAAAGGTTTTTTGTCTCTGTCAGCTCTGGGTGGTTAGGTCCTTGTCTCCTGTCATTATCCATTGGTCCACTGTCCCTTGCAGATTTCCATATGTCCTGGCAATAGTCTTCGCCTGGGTCTAGGAGGTTCACAGCACAGGGACCTTGGGTCTGAAGGATGCTCTCCAGTCTTCTTTCATGGTGTTAGTAGGTCCCTCAGACCTCTTCTTACCTGTTTAATTTCTTTTATATCTCAAAGCAGACCCATTGAAGACACAACAATCCTTTAGATTGAATCTTGCATCATTAACATAATTACCTAATTCTGTATCATTATTGATGGTTAGAATTCAGGATGTTATAGGATGATTACGTCAGATCACAAAATGGCCGGGAAATTACATACTACTGAGAATCATGGCTTAGCCAAGTTGACATATATTTCGTGGGGGAAACAACTTAATCCACATCATAGAAAATATAAAATTGAGTATGTCTCATATATCTTGCACTGTAGCAGATGCTTTGGGGAGATATAAGAAATCCTCAAACCCCTGACCTTGTGAGCTTATGCTAGTATAGGTGGGATAAAGCATCTTTTTAAGATCATTGAAAAAATGATATAGCAATAAATGACTAAATATTAAAAATGCAATAATATTAATAAGTGGCAGGTGTAAGTATAAGTTACTCAGTAGAAGTATTCTTGTGTTTTATAATGTTAAATAATTCACATTTGACCACCAATTATTTCTCTACCAGGGTGAGTTAGTTAATTGTGCCAGCCTGGCCAATAATCACATGTGGTGCTAGTTGAAAGGCGGAGGGATAAATGGGTGGTGAAGCCTCGCCTTTCTAGTTCTCGGATCTCTGGCTTTGTGATGGGCGCACCAGGGTGCAGCTGCCTTAGCAGTTCCCTGCTTCAGCTTGCAAGATGGATTTCCTACAAGACATCCCCAAGGAGAAGCCGCATGGATCTATCCCGATGCAGCCCTGGGTGCTGGAGCAGCCATGTGGAGACCCCTGCCAGTGCTGAGATGCTTACACGTTCACTGACTCAGCTTTCCTCCCGCAGTCAGCATTATTGCCTCTGTTTTGTGAGGTGAAGGACTTTGTGGACTGGTGTTGGGTATGGGTTAATGTTGGACTTGTGGGCTTGGGCAGCATTGGGTTGGGATGTTTTCGTGATGCACATTTTCTTTGCATAAAACTCTCTCTTATACGTGAGTTGCTGTGGATTTGTTTCTCCAAAGTACCCAGACTAATACACAGGGTTTTCACCCAAGCTCATCTTCAACCTCAGTTCTCCTGACCTGTTGGGCTAATAAAGAATGACCAACCTTGTTGGAGTAAAACCGATGTTATTTTTTCTTATTTTCAGGCATACTTCCGACAGGGCGTTGCCCTCCAGTACCTTGGGCGCCATGCCGATGCCCTGGCTGCCTTTGCATCTGGACTGGCTCAGGACCCCAAAAGTCTCCAGCTTCTGGTGGGGATGGTAGAAGCTGCCATGAAGTCTCCCATGAGAGGTAAATATGGTGATCTAGTTTGATAGTCCCACACAGGAAGATCCAGGGTCACTGCTGACAGCTGAAGTCCGTGAGGCCGATGGGATGGTGGAAAGGCCATTGAAAGCAAGTGGACCTAGATTATATTCTTGAGTGTTTCTTAGCCAGTGACTTGACCTCTTTGGATTGCTATTATTGGTGTTAGGTGCCATCAAGTTGGTTCCAGCTCATAGTAACCATCTGCACAACAGAACAAAGAGCTGCCCAGTCTTGGGTCATCCTATTTAAATAATCCATATTTCTCTTAATTCTAAAATTCTAAATCAGCACCCCTAATAGTAAAGTAATTTGCCCAGGAAGACCTATATGCCATCTAGTAATGATCAAGAAAGAGAAGACGTTTGAAGGAAAACAGAACAACACCTCAAAACCTATTGATTCTGACTGGTGCCAACCCTCTTTGTCACAGCGTGGGACTGCTCCATAGGGATTCCTTGGCTGTCATCTTTAAGGAAGCAGATCACCAGGGCTTGCTTTTGTAGTTCTACTGGGTGGGTGGGGACTGCCCATCTACAGATTAGGAATTGAGCATACATCGTTTGTGGTTAGGGACCTTCAGAGAAGACATACATATTTGCATAAAAAGGTGTGGCTCCCACTACAGGTTGGGTCCAACTTCTCTTAGCGGCACATTGAAAGATTCTGTGGGATCAAAGATGAGAGAAACAGACTGTCAGCTGCTCTTTGACATCTGGTCTCCCTGTTTTACTTCCACCTCATGTCATCTGGTCTCCTAGAAACCAGCCTGTGGAGGTTAACGGCTGTCTGGAGCCTCAAACAGGTTGACTTCACTGGCTTTGAGGAGTGCGCTCTTGAGAAAACTGGGTGCAAAGTTTACACCAGTTACCATCTTTGTGGAGAGAGACTGAGGCAGATTTGAAGCAAATAGATGTTTCATAGTGCCCTACATTAACTATGTTACGTCAAGCAGAATTCTCTTTTTCTCTCCAAAATGCCAAGGGTTTTGAATATTTCATACACTGAACTAAAATTGTTGCTGGATGTATCATCAGACATTGCATCTAGTTTTGAAAGTGCTTGCCGAGTTGGCTGGCTTTCATGTGGCGTATACGGCACTTGGCCCAAAATAGATGCTCAGTAAATGCTTGATGGCCCCAAGGGTACTCATATGATCTCTAGACAATTGATAGCTCTCAAAAACAAGATCTGAAAGTTGGGGGTTGTCTGTTTTCGACAAAGAAAATGGCGAGGAAACCTCTTTGCTGCGATTTTCTGATCCTGCACAAACCGAGTCTCTGCGGGGGAAGCTAATGGCTTCTCCCACCGGGTAGCCTGCTGTTAATAAACCCTGACTTGGCGCAGATGTGCCTTGGTACTCCAGGGCTTGGGCAGGCATGGACCACAGACACAATCAGGCAGTTGCTCCTTTCCACTTTTCTAGCATTTTTCTCATTCCCTTACAGCCTCCTCTGCCAGGTTATTTCCACCGAACATTTTTTAAAAATTCATTTATGAAGATAGCACCTCTGGGTTTTTGGGGGTCCTCTGCCACTGCAGGACGTTGGAGTGAATGTGTTGAGATTAGCAGAATCATACTTACCATTTGGGCTCTGAAGCCATTTGTTTAGATGGACGTGAGACATCCCCCTTCCGCACCCCCCCCCACACGCATGCACGCACACACACACACACACACATGCACACACTCTCGCATGTGCACACACCCTCACCTTCTCAAAGGGTTACTGTGCTGCTTTCTGTTCCCTCTTCCAGTGAGTGATCCAAGGCCGACCCTGGAGAAAGCTGCTTGCAGGTACCTGCAGCTCTCCAATATTTTCTTCTCTGCCCTGAAGGCAATTTAATTTATCTTGTGTTTGTGCAGCAGGCAGGTCTATTCCAGGGGGGCTTCTGTCATCCACAGTTTCTGGAGGCTGTTGCTTTGCGCAGTGGTCTGGGCATCACCCCACATTGCACAGATCCCCTCCCCTGCCCCACTTCCTGTCTTATGGCTCTAGTTCACAGAACCCATCATCATCACTTACAGCCCATATTTTACCCACTGTCGTCTCAGAGCCCTTGCAGCTTTCTAAGCCTCTGCCTTTGCTGTATTGCTGTGCAGCAGGGGACACTGTGTGCGTGGGCCAGATCTGCTGTGTTGATCGCTTGTGACGTGTAATACTGCATCAGAGAAGGGCTTCTCTCTGCGCACAGTGGCCCTGTGATTTGATCTTTTTGGAGAGTGTGAGGTTTTGACGTTTTTTTTTTGTCTTTTAAGACATGACCCACCTGTGTTCTGGCAGGCACATTGTTTTTTAAAAATGGTGGTGGTTTCGGTATCTGTAGCAGAAAATGAATCCTGTTTGGCTTTTTCACTTGTTATGCTCTTAGAGCAGCTCCCAGCTCATCTGTCTTCTCCTCTGCCTATACTTACCTCCCTCTGCAGAGCGGATTGCCCTTAAATCATTAATGAGCATGTAACAACCATCCTAAGTCTAAAACAATGGGCTCTCTTTCGTGACTTAATAAATGAGTCCTTTTATTCCTTTCCATTTCTCTTTTTCAGATTGTCCCGTAGCCATTCTGGTTCATTGTATATTATAAATGTTTCAACAGATTTGGATGCTGGAGAACACGGCAACTGTTAACAGTAGCCTTTGTGACCCAGCTGTGAGCCCAGATTGAGTTTACCTGTGTTTATTCCCCTGCAGATCCCCGATGGCCCTTTGCTTATGGTCTTCATGTGCGTGTTCCCTCTCCTGCTGTTAATTCAGTGAGCTGATGGACTCTCACCTGCTGTGGGACTCCTCCCCCTTCCCCCCCCCAGCAGGGACACCTGCCATGGGGCTCCCCCCCCCCAAGCAGGGACACCTGCCGTGGGGCTTCTCCCCGTTTTACAGGAGCAGGGGCGGCTGCTTTTCAGACCTGCTGGTGAGAAAGGGCTGATGAAAGGGTCAGCTCTCTCTCCAGCCTCCAGTTGATTCACCTTTTGTTTCCCGAAGGTCCGCCTTCCATGAACGCTCTCCCTCCGACTCTGTGTGTGGCAGTCACTTTTCACAGGGGGCCAATTTTATCTGCAGCTTCGTGGTGAAAACAGGCTTTTGTGTCAGAAGTGGGACCCCATATCCAGCGTTGCTCGAGGCTCTCCCACTGTCCCTCTCTACCTCAGGGAATGGTCCCATGTCGCCTCTCGCTGCTGGAGACCCCCTGGCTGCACACCAGCCTTTAGGGTGGCTCAGGCCTGAGAGGGCTGTGGAGGCTGCACAGAAGCAGACCCTCCTGAGGAGCCCTTGCTGCAGAAGGCTTTCCCACTTTGTCTGAGTGTTGGCATGTTTTTCTCTCAGAGCTGGGAATTTTGAAAGACTTCCTATTCCCCTTTGTCTCTTCGGAAGCTTCTGAGCCCAGTGCTTCTGCCTGCCCATCTGCTGCGTAGGGGTCCTTCTTGTACCCAGGTTCTCCCTTCACACTGGCTGACTTCTATGTCCTCATGTATTTCTGCCCCTAAGGTAAAAGAGCTGTTTCTCCCAAGAGTTGGGGCATTCTCACCTGAAAGGTGCTGGTAATGTGGGAAGTGGCCTAATGCCCGCTGCCATGGAGGCCAGTCAAACTCCTCCCAACCCTCCATCGAGTTTCTGAGACTGTAACTCTTTACTGGAGCAGACAACCTCATCATCTCCCGCAGTCAGTGGCTTTGAACAGCCGACCTCGTGGTCAGCAGTCCAGCGCTGACCTGATAAGTTAAAATGAAAACTAAACAGTACTAGCCTCATCTCTCAATTTTATATTTTGGGAGCTAACATTCCCCTCAAGTTCCCCTGGTGGCAGAGTGGGTTCACCAGTGGGCTGCTGTCACCAAGGGAGTGATTCTGAACGCCCTAGCCACTCTGCAAGAGGAAGATGAGCGTCTGCTGTGTAAAGCTGCGGTGCCTCAGAAGGCCCTGGAGCAGCGCTCCTGTTGGAGAGGGCCAGTGCAAGTTAGAGTTGACTCAATGCCAGAGAGTTTCTTTTCTATCGGGAGACCCTCCTGGCCCCCGTCCCACCTTGTCAGTACACCGCATGTGTCACAGTTGCTCTCCTCTGTCTTAGAGATCTCTTCCAGGATGGTTTCTCCTGGGCTTCTGGATCTACATTTCAGGACTCTTTTCTATCTAGTGAAGCATCACAGGACTACTGGCACTGACATCATCAGGTTTTTAGGAAAGCGTGGCCTCTTTGGTCACGTGTGCCAGGGAGCAGTCACAGGATAACTGGACCTGAAAGCCCTAGAATGCAGAATTATGCCAGTAGGAACAGGAGTTGCCTTGCAGGTGATTCAGAGGAGACCATCAGTCAGGCATCGTGTCTTAGTGCTAAGGCATTGCTTCTATTGAATGCCTTTATTCATTTTATTTCTCAAACTGTTCATTTTATATACTGAGCATCCCTGAAAAGTGTCCCCTGCTGTCCATCTCTTTGGACACCGCCCAGTCGAAGACTTCTTCAGGTTTCCTCTCCACCTGCTCTTCCTGGTGTCTCTCGTTCAAAGGCTTTGCTTTGCTCTCCTTCCAGAATATACCTGCCCAAATGTAAGTCTGCTCTGCCATTTGCTTAGTCAGAATTCTGAATACTGCCCCGCCCTCTGCCTAAAGGCCAACCTCCTTTAGTCAATGAGACCTTGCTCTCGTTCTCATCTCCAGCTACTCCCAACTAAAGCCACTTGCCTGTGTTTCCTCATGTCTCCAATCTAGATTCCAATGTCATTTGTGCTGTCTTCCCAACCTGACCCTGGTAGAACGCTGCTAACCCTTTGGCTCCCCTTGTATCTTTGAGCGATTCTAAGAACCCTGGATGGAAAATAATTAAGAAACATACAATGCTAATAAGGAAGAAATGCTGAGGATTCAATGAAGACATGATCCTCTTTTAGGGGTCTGGTGGTATAGTGGTTATGTGCTGTGCTGCCATCTATAAGGTCAGCAGTTCAAAACCACCAGCCTAGAAAAAATGAGGCTTTCTACTTCCAT